ATATGTATGCCAATTAGGTGTGGCATCTCATGACGTGTGACGCCTTACAGACCCAGCTTGGTTCTTCTCCAGTGCCTCCTTTTGGAGTTGTACCTGATCTTATTACCAGTCTTCATCCGAATCCACTGGGGAATGGGACGATTCTGCTTTTGTTTCTTGGCCAGGAATCGCTTGATTCTGAAAGTCTTGTGAGAAGACATGGCGAGAAGCAGCCAGCCACGCAGAGCAGGATGGCGGCGAAAAAGCTGAAAATATTTTTCTACTCCATAAAACTGCCTCTCCAGATTGGAGTGGATAAGAAGGTTGAGAATTCAAATACATCTATCTCATGGACAGAAACAGTAGAGGAAAAAACATGCTTTTTCTGATGGAAATTTAACCAACAAATTATTATTCTTTAGCAGAAGGGACTTGGATTATAAGTAATTGGATTTCATACAGCATACAGAATTACACAAACCAGTCCTTTTAAGCATGTGCCTTATTCTGAGCTCCTCCTACATTTCTTATATGCCTGGATCCCCACATTTGTTGGGTTGGTTTTGGGATTTGTTTTACTGTCACATGTGTCACAACTTTGGGAAGGGGCATTTTTTATTTTGATATATGTAAATGATGATTTTTATGCTGTTCCAGCAGTGTTCAATGCCTTTTTTCTCCTGTATACTCCTGTTTAAGACAGACAAAACAAAATTGCTTCTCTTTCCTCTAAGTTAGACCTAAAATATGCTCACTTTGGACTTGATTCACGTATATTAACAGTGGAACTTTTAACTCTTCTCAGAAGTGGTATGCTAACAATGCTTTCTTCTTTTTAAAAAAAAAAACTTTTTATTTTGGAATAATTTTAGACTTACAGAAAAGTTGCAAAAACAGAACAGAGAGTTTCTATATACTCTTCACATAGCTTTCTTTAATGTTAACATTTTGATTAGGCATAGTATAATTATCAAAACTAACAAATTAACATAGGTACAATATTATTAACTAAACTACAGCCCATACAGATTTCACCAGTTTTTCCACTAATGTCCTTGTCCTGCTCTAGGATACAATCCAGGATCTCACATTGCACTTAATTGTCCTACCTCTTCTTAAGTTGCCTCTACTATGTGGCTTGCCTTCCTTGTCTTGGTCAGTCTTTAACGTTTTTTTGTAGTGCAGTTCTGCTAATGAATTTTTTCAGCTTTAAAAAACTTTTTATTTTATTTATTTTTAATTGTGATAAAATACACGTAACACAAAATTTACCATTCTAATCATTTTTCAGTGTCCAGTTCTGTAGTAATTGCATTCACATTTTTGTGCAACCAATCTCCAGAACTCTTTTCATCTTGCAAAACTGAAACTGTGTACCCATTAAACATAGTTCCCCATTCCTGCCTCCCCCCATCCCTTGCCAATCATCATTCTACTTTCTGTCTCTATAAATATGACTACTCTAGGTATCTCATATGAGTGGAATCACACCATATTTTTCTTTTCGTGACAGGCTTATGTCACTTAGCAAAATGTCCTCAATGTTCATCTTTGTTGTAGCCTGTCCCGCGTATGTGTGTATGAGTTTCCTTTCTAAGGCAGAATAGTATTCCATTGTATGTATGGATTTACCACATTTTGTTTATTCCTTCATCTGTCAATAGAAACTTGGGTTGCTTCCACCCTTTGGCTATTGTGAATAATGCTGCTGTGAACATTGGTGTACAAATATCTGTTTGAGTCCCTGCTTTCAGGGTTTTGGGGGTATATACCCGGAAGTGGAATTGCTGGGTCATATGGCAATTCTATTTTTAATTTTTTGAGGAACTGTCATACTGTTTTCTATGTTAACTTTTATATATCTGAAAATATCTTTTTTTTTTGCTATGGTATCTGAAAGATATTTTCATGAAGTCTAGAAATTTCTTTCAGAGATTTAAAGATGTTGTTCCACTTGTCTTTCTTGTATTGTTTCCAAAAGGAAGTTTGCTGTCATTCTTTGTTCTTGGTTAAATCTTTATTTTTTCTGGCTGCTTTAAAGATTTTTTTTTCTTTATTAATGTGTCTAAGAAAATTGATCATGATGTGCCTTGTAGTTTTTGTTAAATAGTTTTTATTTTTAAAATAATAGTTTTGGGGCACCTCGGTGGCTCAGTCGGTTAAGCGTCTGCCTTCGGCTTAGGTCATGATCCCGGGGTCCTGGAGAGTCCCGCATCAGGCTCCCTGCTCAGCGGGGAGTCTGCTTCTCCCTCTGCCTGCCACTCCCCCTGCTTGTGCTCTCTCTCTCTGACAAATGAACAAATAAAATCTTTAAGAAAAAAAATAAATAAAATAATAGTTTTTATTAAACCTGGACAATTTTTAGTTTTTATTTCCCAAATGTTTTTCTGCCCTCTTCTCTCTCTCTCCTGTTTTGGAGACTCCCAATTGCAGGTACATTAGGCTGCTTGAAGTTCACAGCTCACTGATGTTCTCTCAAAACGCTCTTTTCATTTTTGTTTTCAGTTGGTATGTCTTCAAATTTGCTTTCATTTTTCTTTTGTTTGCATCTACTGTTTTTTTAAAGATTTTGTTTTTAAGTAATCTGTACACCCAACGTGGGGCTCGAACTTACAACCCCGAGATCAAGAGTCACATGCTCTACTGACTGGGCCACTCAGGCATCACTGGTTTGTGTCTTTTAAAAATATCTTCCAGGTCTCTCCTCAACATGATCATGGTTTTTTCTAGTTTCTTGAACATGTGGAATGTTGTTATAATAACTCTTTTAATGTTCTTGTCTACTAATCTCATTTCTGGTTTGGTTTCTATTGATTTATGCTTCTCCTTGTTAAGGGTTGTATTTTCCTGCTTATTTGCTGGCCTAATAATTTTTGATTGGATGTCAGGCATGATGAATTTTGTTGGATGCTAGGTACTCTTGTATTTACACAATATTTTAAAATTTTGTTGTGAAGCTTTGTTGTCGTAAATTACTTGGAAATAGTTTGACCCTTTTGAGGCTTACTTTTTAATGTTTGTTGGGTGGGACCAGAGCAGCCTTTAGTCCAGGCTAATTTTGCTCCACTCTTGAGGCAGTAGATACTTCATGTCTCATGAATTGTGAGGTGTTTTTGTTTGTTTTTGTTTTGTTTCTCTTTCACTCAGGCTGGTGAGGAGACTATTCCTGGCTTTCTGTGAGCTCCAGAGAGTGGTTCCACCTGCTTCTTTCTGGTGGTTCTTTCCCCAGCCTTGGATAATTTTCTCAAACTGATGGGCTAATCAACTTTCAAATGAAGACTTGGGATGGGAGGACCCTCTGGAGATCTTCACAGTTTCTCTCAGTGCATCTCTTTCCTCTCCAGTATTCTGTGTATGAATTCTACCCACCATAGCCTTTTGAGCTTCCTACATGATTTTCTCAGCTGAGGGGGACTGCTGGCTTCTTCTTGGCTTCCGCTTTACAGAGCTGCAGTCGAAAACTCCATGCAGTGAGCTTGGGCAGTCGTAGGGCTTACCTCTTCCTTTGTCCTCTCTCAGGGATCATTGTCCTTTGCTGCCTCTTGTCTAGTGTCTGAAAACTGTCATTTCTTCTATATTTCCTTCCAGTTTTTCAGTGAAGTAATTAGGTAGGTCTTGTCCCTATTATTCCCTCTTGCCTAGAGACAGAATTTGAGCAAGTTATTTAATCTCCTTATGTTCTTAGGGTACTCATCTATAAAATGAAGATAATACTTATGGATTTGTGAGGATTGAATAAGATAAATCACGTAAAGCACTTACTACAGTTCCTGGCCCAAACTAAGTACTCAGTGAATGTTAGTTATTATTGGCACCAAAGCGGGGAGAGAATGGCTTGAACTAGTCTGGGGAACTAGGATCATGAGCCAGTCCTTTTTATTCTGACTCACTTTCAACTGACTTATAAGTATTAGAAAGCAAGAACTATTAGTGGAAGTGTTTTTCTCCCTTCCCTTCCCCTCCTACTCTTCTCTCCCCTATTTGTTTATTCATTTCTTTTTAACCAGGCCTAAAAATTCTTTTTTTTTGGTATATTTAATTTAATTTAATTTAATTTAATTTTATTTATAGTACATCGTTAGTTTTTGATGTAGAGTTCAACAATTCATTAGTTGCATATAACACCCAATGCTCATCACAACACGTGCCCTCCTTAATACCCATCACCCGGCTACCCCATCCCCCCATCCCCCTCCCTTCTGAAACCCTCAGTTTATTTCCTGGAGTCGAGAGTCTCTCATGATTCGTCTCCCTCTCTGATTTCCTCCCCTTCAGTTTTCCCTCCCTTCCCCTATGGTCCTCTGTGCTATTCCTTATGTACCACATATGAGTGAAACCATATGATAATTGTCTTTCTCTGTTTGACTTATTTCACTTAGCATAATCCCCTCCAGTTCCATCCATGTTGATGCAAATGGTGGGTATTCATCCTTTCTGATGGCTGAGTAATATTCCATTGTATATATGGACCACATCTTCTTTATCCATTTATCTGTCATAATACCCTAATCAACGTAGAAGGTAGTAACATTCTCTGAAACCTTTCCCCCACCAAAGTCAGAATAGTATAGCAAATAGGAACATAGTCTGTAGAGTCAGACTTGGATTGAAATCCTTGCTTCTCCTTCCACTAATCTGCATCAGAGGTATTCTCCCTGCCTAATCCTCAGTTGTCTCATTTGTAAAATGGGGCAACACCACATACTTCATGTGGTTGTTGGGAGAATCAAATTAATGTGTATAAAACCCTTTAGCACAGTAGCTGTCACACAACTAGGACTTAGTAGATGGTAGATAGATGGTAGCTATTAGCTTTACTCTTAGTAAAGTTCACACCAGAGATCTAAAATTGAAATAATCTTATCTAACTCCAACGTTGTAGGCAGTGGTTTCCTTTTAGTGGTCTTTTCTTTTTATTATACAACTTACCTAGTAATATTTGAATATCACTTTATAGTTCGCAGAATATATTTACATACATTATCTTGTTTGATGCTTGAATCTATATCTCTGTTTTCCAGTGAGGAACCTGAGACTCAGAGAAGATAAGCAATGAACTCAGGGCCAAACAGCTAGTAAATGACGGAGCCACAACTAGATCAGTGATTACGAACTCCTGCTTGAGGGGCGCCTGGGTGGCTCAGTTGTTGAGTGTCTGCCTTCGGCTCAGGTCATGATCCCAGGGTCCTGGGTTCGAGCCCCGCATCGGGCTCCCTGCTCGGTGGGAGGCCTGCTTCTCCCTCTCTCACTCTCCGAGCTTGTGTTCCCTCTCTCGCTGTGTCTCTCTCTGTCAAATAAAATCTTTAAAAAAAAAAAAAAAAAAGAGTCACTCACAAACTCCTGCTTGAGTGTTCTTTGCACTATCCATGTTGCTTCCTAGTGAAACATTTTACTTGTGTCTAGATTTGCATATTGTATTATCAACAATGGATGTTATATTCTATCGGGGCAAGGATCATGGAAAGTCTTACTGTTTTTATTTTGCTTAGTGGCCAGCATTCAATGTGTAGATATTATTTACATGATATCTATGAAAAGAAAAAACATAATTTTTCTTTTACTGTTTACTCCCCCCAAATGAGTGATTATTGAGAAATTAATACATATTTGTGTAGGACACTGTTAAATGGTAATTCTTTCTTCAAAATGTAGATGCATAACTAGAGTCTTGAGAGATTTTCATTTTGAAAGCAAATATCTTCTGTGTAGGTAAATGTATTGCATTTTCTTTTCAGGATAAAGCTTTTCTAGAATTACCTCAAATAGAACTGCTATTTGCCAATTTCATGGAAGTTACAGTAATTCCTCTAGTAGATTCCATTTATAGATCAAATGTCTATGACTAAATATAATTACTTACAGCTAAATCTGATCAAAGCAATAGGCTCAAAATAACTTATGTGGCATTTAAAGCAAAGAAGGGAGGCAGGATGTTTCAAATGATGGAGGTTTCCAATTGTTCCTTTTGAAAAATTATTTTGAAAATGTCTGTGTTCCTCCATGTTTGCTTTCAGAAACAAAACAGTGAAGCACTTGAACTTTTATTTCATGGTTTTTGCCTACACTAGACTGTCCTTACAGGGAGAGAATTTTGTTTGGGGCAGTTTATTACATGTGAATTGTCGTGGCCTATTTATGGTTTTGATTTCCTTCGCTGTACTTCCCTGCTGTTCAAGGAGTTGCCTCCTTTCAGGAGCCTGTTTTGCAGGTTTTGCTCTCTTACCTATCCTGTTACAGATTTCGTCATTTTCAGACACTAGTTTTGGTCAAATCCTCTTATAACTTAGTATAGTTATTTGGTGCTTATTTATTTCCTTAGCTACTGGTTATATCCTTCATAATTATCTATAAAACAAGCTTTTCAAAAATATAAAACAGATTACTCTAGATGATAAATCTGCAGTCGGCGGTCCTTGCTCTCATGACTAAAATATCTAGTGAGTACAGATGTTAAACAGTGGTATTTTTGAAGATGTGGTTGGAATCTCTGGATTTGAGTGTTCTTCATCTTCTCTTCTGCAATGGAAGGATTCTGTCAGTAGGCCTATAATGCCCTAAGATGCTAAGGGTCACTATGTAAGTAAAGCAGCCTGAGCATTTGGGAGTCTCTTGATTTGCTCGTCTTTTACAAAATATTGGATGCTTATAAGCAACTGAACCTTTGTCTACCATATGAAGGAAGGGCTTCATAAAGTATCTGAAGGAGTTAAAATGAAAGTCAGAGTCCGAGGTGGCGTGTGTGTGTGTGTGTGTGTGTGTGTGTGTTTGGAGAAATAGGAATGAACTTGCTTTGTATTTTCATCTTTCCTGCCCAATACCTGGCATTTAGTAGGCGCTCGATATGTATTATTTGAATAAATGAAAGAATCCAGTAAATAATGTAAGGTACTTCCAAATATAAAGTTATCTCTAGGGGTGAGCTCACCGATATGCAGTGTTCTCCTACTTTCTCTTTTACTTGCTCTTCATGCTAGTGTACCCTATTCTTGTGCTACTCTTCATCTCACTGTTGTATATTAGAAGAAGAGAGAGATTCAGCTAAACGCAAACTTCAGCTAGAAACATAGACTGTTTTGGAAGGGACTTCACTCACCCACATTTTACTGATGGAAGTATTTCTAGGTTTGGAAATGGCTCTGTTCTCCCGTCCCCAGTGTTTGCTCCCATATAGCACAGATCTTACTGCTTTCCCACTTAGACATTTGCTAGCTGGGACATATTGGCAGGGGTGAGGGGTCATGGAGACTGACTGAAAGGGAGAAGGGAAAAGGAAGGAGGAGGAGAAGGAAAAATTGACCATCAGCATCCAAGAGTCCCCATCCTGGCCCCTCTGTTAGGAACGGTTATGGTTTCTATCGAGTGCATAGAGCAAAGAGTGTAATCTTGGAAAAATGGATATCAATGTCTTATACTTACTTTCTTCCTTTTTAAGTGATAAATAAGACAAAGAAAGAACAATAGGGAGGTGGGGGAGAGGAAGTGGTGGCTGGCAGAGGGTTCAGGGAATATGGCTGGGACTGTAGGGAGAGAAAAAACATTGCCATGTGGGTGAATGAAATGCTGGAGTTTCAAAGCAGGAGTAATTTTACACTGAAAATCCTGTAGTTATGTGCTTGGCTGTTTAATAAAAACATCCCGTGGTGAAATTACTATATATTTACTCTGTATCTGAAATGCAGAATATCTTAAAATACATGTGTCATCATGGGATAGGTGCTACATCTTAAATTTTTAAAAAAGGAAATTAGATGTTTTTAATAGCCGCTCAGAAATTTTCCAACTATGAACGATCAGTTCAGAGTTACCTGATTAAATCTGTCATTTGTCAGTCTTGAAGGTTTCCTGTTTTCTGAACTCTTGAAAGAAAATTTCTATGGACACAAATGGGTATATTATGAACTTCTGAGATGTGAACCTACTGTGGAAAAAAATGTGGTAGCAAAGGTGGTTGGGTTGAATCTGTATGCCTGCGTGCAGGCTACCTGGCCTGAGAGTCAAGTTTATACTAGGTTTCTAAGGGGTGGCACCATGTGACTGCCTACAGAAACAAGCGTTTCACTGCTTTCATGACAGTTAAAATGACCTTGAGTCAATGGAGTTAACTGTAGTATTGCCCGAGTTACCTGAGGGTATTCTTAAAAACATGGATTCTGATTTTGTGGATCTGGGGCCAGCCCAGAGTTTCTGCCTTCTGACTCTCAGGTGGTGCTAATGCTTCTGGACCAAGGACAGCACTGAATAGCAAGGGTTTATAGTGTTGTTTCACTCTGTTACTCTCCTCTTTGTAGTTCTGCCTTTCTTGATCTGTGCGTCTCTCCACCTCTGTCTCTCTCTGCTTCTGTTTCTCTGTGTATCTCTGCCTTGTCTTTCTCTGCTTTCCCCTTCTCTGCTGTCCCTCTTGATCTCCTCTCGCTAACGACTTGTCTCTCCGCTTATCTCCTCCTTCAGCCTACTCCTTCTCTTTCTCCCTCTCAGGCATGTGTGCACCACACTCACAGAATTACATGGTAGGACACAGTCATGCTCGGTGAAGAATTCTGACCAGTATTTAATGTTGTTAATGATGTATTTCCCGTTTTGAGCCTAAGCCAAAGTCTTCTTTCTCCCTGTTCTCAGAGATAAGGAACAATGCCAAGGTTTGGGGTGTGGGGGTGCTAAATTTTTGTTCACCATTGGGATTCTAGACATTGAGACATTCTAGACGTGATCATGGTTGCCTCAAAAGTATTAGAAAAATGGAACACTACATCAAAAACTAAGGATGTGGGTGCCTGGGTGGCTCAGTTGGTTAAGCGACTGCCTTCAGCTCAGGTCGTGATCCTGGAGTCCCGGGATCGAGTCCCACATCGGGCTCCCTGCTCAGCAGGGAGTCTGCTTCTCCCTCCGACCCTCTTCCCTCTCGTGCTCTCTGTCTCTCACTCTCTCTCTCAAATAAATAAATAAATAAAATCTTTAAAAAAAAAAAGCTAATGATGTAATGTATGGTGATTAACATAACAATAACAACAACAACAACAACAACAATAATAATAATAATAAAGTAATTAAAAAAATGAAAATTAGAAAAAAAAAGTATTAAAAAAGCACATAAATCCCCCAGGCTGGTTTGGTCATTACAGAAGGCTACAGTGGTCATTCAGAATCCAGTAATCTTAGCTGATGAGCTGAATTCCTCCCCCTAATTTAATTACTACCCAAGAAGTCATACTTCTTGCAGCCATGCATCTATTTGCCCCCAAGATTTAGTCGAGAACAGCTAGCTAGTAATTTTGAACTAATTACTTAAACCTTGGGCATTGAGTTCCTCATCTGTAAAATATGAGTTTAACTAGATGGTCTCCAAGGCTCCTTTTAGCTATGACATGCTGTGATTTTTAAAGTCATTAGGTAAAAAACATTTCAAATATTGGCTGTTAGTTTGTTCAAATTCTTGTTTGGATCATTTTCTCATGAAAATATAAATTTCTGGGGCACCTGGGTGGCTCAGTCGGTTAAGCAGCTCAGGTCATGATCTCATGGTCCTGGGATCGAGCCCTGCATCAGGCTCCCTGCTTGGCATGGAAGTCTGCTTCTCCCTCTCCCTCCGCCCCTCCTCCCACTTGTGCTTTCTCTCTCTCTCTCTCACTCGCTCACTCACTGTCTCAAATAAATAAATAAAATCTTAGAAAAAGAAAATACCAATTTCTTTGTAAAATGGGGCTAGACTTGTTATGTTCTGGGTTTAATTAAGATTAATCAGTATATTTCATCTCTCAGTGATCTAGAGTAATGAAGGTAAAGGGTAATGTAAGCAAAAAATCATTTTTATTTACTTTAGAATACACTGAATTCTAATTACAACAGAATTTTCTTCCTGATTGGTTTGCTTGGGCTGATATTGGGCATACTTTGTATTTGTAGAGCTACCTGGAACTATCACTATCTGGACATAGTATCTAATAGTAGATAATCTGAAGCCTAAGAAGCCCAGCTGAGTGCGTTTTACTTTTCAGTGCTCTGGATACTCTCTACTTATTATCACTAAACAGAAGGACAATTAATAACTGTTTTAGAAGATACCGCTGTTTTTGGAGACATCCGTTATATTTTCTTTTGGTTTTGGTGGGGAAGAAA